AAAAAAAAAAAAAAAAAAAAGGCATAGTGTTTTAGTCATTCATGAGATGATTAACATTTTTGTTTTATGAAACATGGCCCCTAAAAGGAATATAACTATTAAGGTTGGAGCTAAAAGTAAAGAAATATTAATATTCAAGACAGAGAAGCCATATGTATAAAATCATTAAGGGTCCGATGTGGTCAGTTAAGTCTTTCCATTATATCTGAGCTGTACCTCATGTGGTTAAACATGTGCTGTGGTGGTGTTCAGGAATCTGGGGACTGCTAAGGGTCCATACTGTCTGGAAATTATTTGTTTGACTATGATTTGTTTACTTTGCAGTGTCTGGCTCAAATAAAGTGCTCAGTAAACATTTGCCATGTGGATAAAAAAGGGCTTAATTTCAAGAATAATCAGGGAGATGAAAATCATTGTACCAAAGAGAAACTGTTTTTCACCCATCTTATTGAAAACATAGTAATAGATAATGCAGGTAGAAAAAGGGGCACACTCATACATCAGCGATGAAATGTGAATCACTACACCCTTCCTGGAAAGCTATGTAGGAATATCTATTAAAATTGAAGATGTACACATCCATTGCAGCAGTAACCTCAAAACAGGAACTCTCTCCCACAGAAATTAAAGCATCAGTACCTAAGAACTAGACCAGGATGTTCACTGAATACTTTATTAGTGGGAAGAAAATGGAAACAAGCAAATGTCCACCAATTGTTAAATTAATGGTGTGGCCCAGCAGTTGAGCAGTGACCTAGGATCCAGGAGATCGAGGTTCGATTCCCGGTCAGGGAACATGCCCAGGTTGTGGGCTTGATCCCAGCAGGGGGCATGCAGGAGGTAGCTGATCAATGACTCATTATTGATGTTTCTATCTCTCTCCCTTCCTCTCCCGGTAATCAATAAAGATATATATATTTTTTTAAAATTGTTAAATTAACGTTGATACACTCACACCACAAAATATCAGCAGCTAGATTCATAATAGGTGACTTGCAAGGATTTCTACTATATATGTAAGTTAGAGAAGCAAAAAATGCAGTGGGACCCATTTTTAAAAAAGTATGCATATGCATGTATGTTCGTGTATGACTAAAAGAACAAAGATACAGAAGATGCATAGGTTCAGGAGATCCAGGGAGGTAAAGTTAGCAAACCTCTGCACATGCACACACAGTGTCAACAAATAAAAATATTCTAATATTCTGTATGCTATAGTCCTTTTAATAGATAATTGTGTGTGGATACAGGAAAGACACACTCAAAAGAGAACCAAGAAAAACTAAGTTCCAGAATATTTTCCAATAATAATAAAAATAAAAGTATAAGAGTGGTTGATTTAGGTTAAACTATTTTTAAAAAGAAAAATGACAGTATTATTTTTTCAACGTAAGTTTTAGATCACAGTATTTGACTTCACGGGACTTGGTAACGGTCCTTTCCCTCCGTGAAACATTCTCCTGTGTTCCACGACACCACGCTGTTTCCCCTTCTGCTCATTCTCATCTCCTGGGGGCTCTCCTGCCTCGACGGCCCTCCAGGGCCCTCCCCGCGGCCCTCGGCATTAATGGACAGTGCCCCCTCTGGGCTCCGTCTCCCCGCAGACAACGTTTTGGGGAAATTAAGAAAACAGAAACTGCACAGGTTTTTAAAAAGTCACTATCTAGCACCTCCACAATGGGACTTTCTCCACCTAGTCTTCCAGGCCACCTCGCGCGGGAAGGCGGGACCCAGCCCCACGCCCACGCGGGGACAGCCAGGCGGGACGGGGGTCGCTCTACTCCCGCCGGCAGGTTGACTTCCCCCTCGCTGCACCCTGAGAAACTCAGAAGCGGCCTCCAGAGTGGCCGCTGAAAACCAACACCCACTTCTCCTCTCTCCACCTCAGAATTCTGCTGAGTACCTGAGACCCTAGGGTCCCCGTCTGCGGGCACCAGAGACAGCCGGGGAAGGCGACGGCCCTGCTCCATAGCCTCGCGCTCCAGGGACCAGCACTCCCATTCCTCCCAGGCCGTACCTGGGGTCCGGAAACTGTCTGCAACTCTGTGGCCGCGGCTTTCCAGGGGACTCGTCTCCCGGCCAGGCTAACCCTTCCCCCGAGAAAGAGCCGGTGGGAAAGGCCGGCGCCGCAGGACGCACAGGAGGCCGCCATCTTGCCTGTGGAAACCCCGGGCAGGAGGGTTGGGAGGGCGGGGCCTGGCGACTGCGCAGGCGCCGGCGGGCCGAGTTCGGAGG